ATCTTTAAATGGATTGATACGTTGACTGATCCAAACTTTTTTATCTTCATTAACAATAATAAGAAGACTAAAATTACGTATATTTTTTTTAAGTTTACTAATATTATCTTTAGAATCTTTTGCTAAATTTTTATTAATATTCATTTGTGTATCAACTTGTGTAAGAAGTTCATCAGAAGAATATCCATTTTTTTCATTTCTTCTAATGTTTCTTTCCATGATAATAATTTAGAACAATTTTCATTATAAAAAGTTTGGTTTTTTTTTAAAGTAAGATAAATTTGATAAAGATCAATTGTGTTATTAAGATTTTGAGTCATTGTTAAAGTTACGTATTGAAAAATCTAACTTGTTTATAAAAACTAGTTAGACAATTTTTATTAATATTTATTTAATGTTCGTAATCATTCAAATAATAATCTAAAATAAAAAAATAAAATAAATATCAAATGCTTCATTGTAATATCAATATTTACATTTAGGCGATTCCTTCGTATAACCATGGACAACTTTATACTCAATGAGACACCATGAACCGAACAGGCTCAACTCCCAAACAGCGTGACTTATATATTAATTATTACTCAACATAAAAATAAATAGTAAGTAAAATACTTACATTTTAATAAAAATATGATAAATATATTAATCATCACTATCATCCATTCGTAATCCTTCATCCTCAAAGATAGGAACACCATTAGTTAAAAATGCATTTTGTTTAGTAATATAATTTGGTATAATATTATTTAGTCTAACACAAATACATTTTTTTTCTTTACAATCTGAATATTTTTTATCAAGAACAACAGATCCATCATCTGAAATATATGATAATTTTGAAGTAACTGAACATGGTTCAGAATGAATCGATTCAATATCAAAATCTTGTACATTATACAGTTTATTTTTACATTTAGTACAAAATTTTGTTTTTCGAAATGTATTACATTTCTCACAATATAATATTTTAATTTTTCTTTGATATGGATGTTTAAAAATATATTTTTTTAGTTGTATATCTTTAATATGTGAACTTCTTCGTACTAATATTTGATTTCCATTTATAGTTATATATTTAGTTAGAAAATTGTATTTATCTTTACTCATGAAACGAAAAAATTCTTTTAAATTATTTTTATAATGCATTTTGAAATTACATCGATAAAATTTTATCAGGTTTATAAAAACTTGATAGATATATAAATTTAATAAAAATAATAATATAATAATATAATAAATCAAAATAAACTCATTATTTATCTAACTTTTTAATAGATTTCTCTATATTAGAAACATCTCTAATAGCATCATTCAATGACCAACTTAAAACTTGCTTTTTCCAAGTTTCCATTTTAACAAAATATGGATCATTTCAATCAAGTGGTAAAATATCTTCAATTTCATTCAATTCTGATTCACATGCTTGATAATAAATACACAATTGTTTCATAAAATCTAATTATTGTTGTTTATCAGGGAAAGCTTTAATAAAAGATTTTTCTTTAACATCCTTTATAAGTTTCCATTTTTTTTGTTTAGCGTAAAATTCATAAATTTCATTTAAATTAACAATAGGAGTTTCTTCAACATCCTTTGTTTTTTGTAATTTAGAAGTTACTTCAATAACTTCTTCTTCACTATCTTTTTCTCTTTGAAGATGTTTTCTTTTAGACATTTTCAAATTGTATACTTTATAAAGTTACATAAATAAATATCTAATCAGTGAAAATTCACTGATTAGATATTGTAGCTTAAAATCTTATACATATTATAAACATATAAAATAAAATTAAAATAAACTATTTAAATTCAATTTTACAGGTTCTAGTAACTGAAATTTTGTTATAATCAAATTCAATTTTAATTTTTTCACTATTATTAACTTCAATACTTTTAATATTATTAATAATACTAAAAGTATTAACTGATTAAATACTATTAATATTTTTATAAATTGAAATTTGATTATCTTCATTCGTTTGATCTTGAAATTGAACAACAGACTCATAAGTTGCTTTAATAGAAGATGAAACTTCTTGACAAATAGTAAGTTGCTTAGTTTTCTTCTTACGTTCTTCCTTACTTTTTTTAATATGATTTCAAATTTCTGGATGTTTAATCATAAAATGATTTTTTAATATTGATTCATTTGTTGACATAGGATAAGAATGTTCATTTTTACATTATAAACAAACATAAGTTTTAGTAAGATCATTAGAAGCAAAATAAGTTTAGATAGGATGAACTAAATTAACTTCAGTCATATTAAATTTATATTATATAAATATTTAATTTAATAATAGTTACATAAATAAAAATCTAATCAGTGAATAAACACTAATTAGAAGAATATATATTTTTCAAATAAAAAACAAACTAAAATAAGAATGAATAATAAAAATGATTGAATAATTTTACTATGTTGTAAAGAATGATAGATAACTAATTT